GACGAAATCGCACACAGACAGCCAGCCAGACACACACACACAGACACACACAGACACACACACAAACACACACAGACACACAAGAACACATGAACACGTGCGCACCATGCGTTCCGCCTCCTTGTGAACGGAGTAGATTGTCCAGCCCTTGGTTGGCTCGTTGTCGTCGGCCTTCTTCAGGTGCATGCGCCCTTGGTAGTATTCGCAGTACGCGGGAACGCCTGCAGTGCACGCCGATACGAAGAAACCACGAATGAGTGATACATGATCGCTGGAGCAGTGACGTGACAATCAAGCCCAATGTGTGACGAAAACACACACACACACCTGCGTCAAAACCTGCGTCAAACACACACGCAAACACACACGCAGAGCACACACACACACACACACACACACACACACAGAGCAAGCACAGTCAGCGCACCGTTTGAGAGAGGAAACACGTGGCGGGAGAGGAGTTCGTACAGGCGGCGACGCGAGTGCTCTTTGGGGTTGTGCGCAAACCGCAACGTACGCAGATCCTGTGAACATTGCAGCAGCAGAGTGAATGGAAGAAACAAGACGATAGCAACAAGACAATCGCAACAACAGCGGTCGGTACCCTACATAGGCGTACCTTGGAGTGGATCTCGACACCATATGCGTAAGCGCCCCGGCTCGTTGCACCGCCAACCTAAGAGACGCATGCAGTCGCAAGAACGTTGCATGTCAAGGCAAAAAGAGCACGTACAGCAAAACGTGAGGAGGAACGATGACACAGGGACAAACACAACCTTCACTTTAGTTCCCACAACATACACAACACAAACACAAACACATACACAAACACGAACACAAACACAAACACATAGATAATCACACGCATGCACATGCACAAACACTCACGCACATAGACAAGCACACACACATCGTGAAGACTGCACCTTTTCAAACTTGTCAATGGCACCAAGGGGTAACTCCACATGGTATTCATCAGAGTCTGTGCTCTGTGGCGGCAACGACAAAGGAGAAGGAGTGACGAGCATGTGATACAATACCGAAACAGGATCTGTACATGCTCAGCACGATAGTGTTCGCAGGTCACTCAATCACGACGCACCTTGAAGAGCAGCCTGAATGTTGTGACAAGCAGCGTCCCGGCCTTGGGGTTGTCATTCGGCGGGAGGTACGTCACAGTGTCATCTAAAATCACATTTCGCATCCACGTCGTGGGTGTGAGTTCAATATGGGCGCGTGCGTGTGGATGATAGATGATGCACACAGTGGTTTTGTTCGGCAAAACCCCACACGACACACGAGCACACGCGAATGATGCACGAGCAAACGCACCTGCGTGGAGGCACTCCTCGCCATAGAAGGTCACAAAGGGCTCTGGGATCTGCTGATGCGCCCCACTGCCTCCTGATTGCTGCGCGTGCCTGTCTGCCATCGTTGTTGTGGCTGTGTGGCTTCGTGTGTGCTTGGTGTTTGCCTGTCTGCGTCCAAGTCGGTCGTGGCACAAGAAGAAGCAAAGCACAAGAAAGAAGGAGCAAAGCACAAGAAGACAAGCAAAAGCCAAGTTGTTGTTTTGTTTGCAGAGGCTCGATCCTTTTGATATACAGATTTTCCCCTTGGGCACATAACAAGAGCGCGACTCAGTAGTTGAGGGGTACAATTTCCGCCTGCCAATTTCTCCCAAGCGCTTAACCAAGAGCGCTTCAGTGCGCGGGAGGCCCGGGTTCAAATCCCGGCTGAGTCACTGTTCTATTCTTTTTTTTCTCGGTTTCGCCATCTTCGCAGCCTCCCGGCACTGATTCAAATCCTGCTCCTACTCCCCCTTGGTCAGTACGAGACTCAGTAGTTGAGGGGTACAATTTCCGCCTGCCAATTTCTTTCTCTCCCAGTGTCGCCATGACACTCAGTGCGCGGGAGGCCCGGGTTCAAATCCCGGCTGAGTCAACGCTTCTTTTTTTTTTTTGCTTTGTGTTGTGGCTAACTAAGGCAAAAAAGAAACCAAAAAAAAGCGTGCTCCCTTGGCAAGGCTCGAACTTGCAACCTCTCGATTAACAGTCGAACGCGCTAGCCAATTGCGCCACAAGGGATCGTTCATCTTGGCTGCCGCGAGCAACTTCCCTCTGTTCAACCAAGAAGCAAACACGAGAGTAAACCGAAAACGGATCAAATTCATCAAGGCAAAGGAAGACACATCGACAGACCACAGTGGCGGCGGTTGGCCATGAAGGTGTGTGGTGCGTGCGCGCGTGTGTGAGTGTCTGTGCATGTGCGTGCGCGCGTGTGTGAGTGTCTGTGCATGTGTTTGTGTGTGTGTGCATGTGTTTGTGTACATGTGTGTGCTTGTATCTATGCGTGTTTGTGCGCACTCCCAACTCCTCACCCCTTCACCCAGCCCTCACATCGCTCAGCTTCTCCACTCTCCTTCTCCTCTCTCCCTCACTCACTCACACACTCACACACACACACACGCACACAAAGCTTATTCACTTACTCGCACTTATTC